AAGTTATAATACCCTTGTGCACAAGTGCGCTCGGGTATAAAAATTAATGCGCTTGGGCCACACTAGAGAAGTGAAACTTACGTTACATATGTAACTTACATCTTTGTTCTAATCTTTTATATCTTTGCTTTTATTTTCTGTTATATGATGTCACATCGATAACAAAGTAAATGGTAACATCGATAAAAATATCGATAATTAAACAGGTAAAGTTATCGATAACAAATTCGAAAAAATGTAGATAGGAAAATCGATAACAATATCGATAACCAAAACGAAAAAATGTCGAAATCAAAATCGATAAAAAATCTACAACAAAATAAATAAAAATATCGATAACAAAATCTATTAAAATATAGATAACCAAATCGATAAAAACATCGATACCCAAATCGATAAAAAATATCGTTAACCAAATCGATAACAATATCAATAGCAAAATTGATAACAAAATCGATAAAAATATAGATAACAATGTATTCACGTTTTGGAAGTCAGCCTTATTGTTCAGGTTACACTCGAGCTACGTTTTTATTTACTTACTACTTTACAGTTCTAAATGTTTGCTGCTTTCTTCAAACAGTATTTTCTGTTTTTATATCAACTCACTCCTATCTTAAGTACCCTGACAATTCTTATCTAAAATTTAGCTACTCAGATATACTTGCGTTACCTGGCATTCTTAAATTCTTCTTTTGCTGTATCTACTACTTATTTATTTTTGTATGTGTATGAGTTCTGTGATATGAGATTCTTCCAGATTTTGTTGCTTAGCTTGGAAGTTGCTACTCGACGATTAGAGAGCTCTGGAGCCTCATTTAAATTAAGTCACCTGAAAAAATCTTACTCTTTTTCGTATTCGCATTGAAAAATTGCTATTCCCATTTAACTTCCTTGGTGTTGAATTTATGGTTCGTAAATCCTGGTTCCTGATCGTAAATCGCCTATGAAACATTTTATTAACTTGATTTTTTTATTCGATTTTGGCAATTAAATTAAAGGTCTTCTTTTCCTTCTCTTTATGTTTTATTTCAGTTTCTTTAATAATCATTTTTATTACTTGCTTAAATTTTTTTTTTATTATTTCCACTTAATAAGCTTGTCATTTTTTTCTAAGAAGTAGTATTTTAATAATTTTATTACCAACCGAAAATTTATATTTAGCTGAATTATGAATCAATTGCTGAATTGTATTATAAACATACAATAAAAATTCCAATTTTTATGGGTTCGCCGTTCGTTGAAATGGGCGCAGGGGCTAGATATTGAAATTCTATTAATTTGTTGGTTATAAAATAAACCTATTCTTCCGAAGCAGTATTCCATTGCATAAATTTAATGTCGCTATCAACCATCAGAAATTCAAATTGACAGTTAATGGCAGAAAAATGTAATATGCAGGGATAGGATTTATAGGCGCTAAAACCTGAGAAATAGGCAAATTTAGTTTTTGAAAAAGGCAAAAAAAAGGCATTTATTTTTTAGTCTTGTTTGGTACATATTTAAGTATGGGTGTACAATCCGACAATACTCGATATGTACAATGTACATTGTAAATACATGTATGCATATATATTCAAAAATATTTACATATTTAAATTGGTTGAATGCTTTAACCGCTGGTGCTTTCATAGTAGCACAATGCTACTAAATGCATTTTGAAATTTTCGGGCAGTAGCTTTGAAGGAACTAAATGTCCTCTCAACATCTACAGATACCAATGGTGCCCAATTCAAAAACTCAACTTCATTTATAGCTATATTTTCTGGTAATTCCACAAACTTTTCACCATTCACAATTGCGGCAACTTTTTTTATAACTTGCAGGCCTTGATTCGATTGGAATACTTTATAAAATTTGTCCAATATAATTTTAGCTACTGGTCCCTTGGCCTGTTTTAAATTGTTTTCTATGCTGTTGAGAATTGCCAATGGATTGCTAATAGGTTCACCTTTATATGTAAATACAAACCAATAAATTAGAAACTTTATATATACGAGTAAACACAGGTAGTTATAAGAATAATACAAAACCTCTTTTCTGAAGCATTTTGAAAGCATTTCCCTCGCTTAATAGGAAACCAAAATTTGCCTGGATATAAGCCAACTCCTCTCGGATGCCCTTATTTGCAAACAATTTTTTCGCAAAAATAACGCAGGCCGCATCGTCATCAAGACCTTCAACTATTTCTTTGATCTCGTTGAAGTTTTTTGCAAAATAAGATGCTGCCTCAAGCCAAGTTCCCCAGCGCGTTAAAACCTTTGAAAGCAAAATTTTTTTTAATCACACTATATGCATATATATTTTAAATATTTGCAACTTACAGGTTGAGGAGGTAGAGGGAGATCCGGTTGCTTTTCTTTAAAAAAACGAATTCTTGAGGGGCTTTTTGAAAATGCTTTTTTTATATTAGCGATTAAGGAGTCAACGTTTGCGTATTGGCTTCGAAGTTTTTCGCATATCCTGTGAACTCCGTGAGCAATACATGTAATATGGATTATTCGTGGGTAAAATAACTGAATCCCTACTACGCTTTTTTTCATATAGGGTGCGGCATCTGTTACAAATATCAGTACTTTGTCTCGTTGAACTTCTTCTGGCCATAGAAGCTTCAAGGAATTATCAAAAAGCTTAGCAATTTCTGACGCATTTACTTTTGGAATTACTTCGGAGGTTAGGAGATACCCTCTACCACCTTGACGCAAAGGACCAACAACAACATTGCAGACATATCTGCCGGCTTTGTCAGTAGACTCATCTATTGATACAAAAATACTGCTATCTCCAATATTCGACCGAATTTCTTCCAAAACATTTTCGTAAACTTCCTTTAAATAATGTTTTCGCATAGTTGATTGATCAGGAACCTTCTTCTGTGCATATTTTGCCATAAACGATTTGAATTCCGTATGGTTAGCTTTGAATAATGGTATATCGCAGGCTACCATCATTTTGGTGATATCTCGGAAAAATTCGTTTGGTGTATTTAAAAATGAGGTAACAGGTTGCACCTTCGTAGAAAGTTTCAATGATACAGCTGTTTTGTGCTTTTCCGTTTGTAGGTGTTGTTGAATGTGGTGTTTCTTGTTGTGATTTACTTTAATTCCACAGTAAACACAAATTCATATTTTTCCATCAGTCGTAAGTATATTTGACCCGAATTCCTTTATATAACCGTTGATTTTTACGGAATTATAACAAATTGCTTTAGGCATTTTAAATGTTCGTAAAATACACACTCGACTTTGATATACACACACAAATTTGAAATTGCAAACAACAACCGATTTTTCATGTCGGTGTTCACTGCGACAAGGAATTCACAATCAGCTGATAAGATGAATTCCAGTGTTGTACAACATAAACTCGTGGTAATTAATAGATAGTGCCGTTTACACGTAGCAGACTTACTTTCAATACTTAAACAATGTAAAACTTCAAATAGATAAATAGGCAAAAAAAAGGCAAAATATTACAAAAAGGCAGAAAAAGGCAATATAGTCAAAAAAGGCACAAAAAAGGCAATTTAAAAATCATAGTATTAGTGTAGAAAGACATAAAACGCGTGATTCTTTAATTTATTTATACATACGACGAAGCAGACAAAATAGGCAAATGCCTTAAAATCCTATCCCTGGTAATATGTATTAATTGTTGAGGCGCGTGAAGTGTCTGGTGAAAATGTATAAACTGTTGAATCATCATGGTGTGCGATTTTTTTTTTTTTAGATAACATTAACGATTGTCGATAACACTTAAATTTTACTTCTCGATGTCTAAATTGATTAGATTAGACGAAAAATCAGCGCTGGCAGAACTCTATGAGCATGTGCAAAACTTTTGGCATCTTCAACGTCGAATTTCGCCGACTTATAAACTGGACGATAAACTCTTTCAAGCCCCTAAAGTCAGTGGGATCTGACGGCCGACCAGGTGAAAAAAAAAACTCTAGATGTGTCGTTGGTTAGTTCCAATCTTTGCTACTTGCATTGCACGTTGGGTACATCGCCAGGGCTTGGCTTACGTTTATACCAAATACTGGAAAATGCTCTCACATGTCTCCCAAGGATTTCAGACCATTTAGCCTCTCCTCATTTTTGCTTAAACCGTGGATAGGCTGTTTGATTTGCATATAAAAAGCGGGATTCTTCATGATCGCCTCTTGACGGCTCAATGTGCATAAGGGTAGATCGGTCCATACCGCCTTCATCGACATCGAGGGGGCCTTTACCGGAGGCAATAGTTAGATTCCTGAGTATAAGCTTGGGGTCGTAACCGACCTTGTTGGGCTCAAAAGCCGCATATTCAGTGGGAGAGCCGTCGATTTTCTGGATTGGTTAGTAGGAGGTTGATTGCCTATGCGGATGATGTTGCACTTTTAGTGAGGGGTAAACCTACTTCGACTTAACCCTCGAGTCTGCGAACTTTTGACTTGCTGTAAATCATAGTAAAACCCAACTTGTTTTATTCGCTATCAGACGTTATGTGCCTTCGATCAGAGGCAATCGCTCGGTGCTTTCTGACAAGAGTCCAATACTTGGGATGAGCTCAATATGGAAAGCCGTCGTGAAAGCCTTATATAGAGAAGATAGTATGGAAGACTAAAGAGGCTATATACAGTTGCAGGGGGGAAAAGGTACGAGATGGGACCTTTCTTCTCTTTCTTCTAAAGTTTTTTCCTGGCTCTATGAAACCATAGTCAAGTCCATTGTGTTTTATAGAGTCCTCGTCTGGCAGAATGAGCTAAATGGGGCTACCCCCCATTGGAATCAGTGCGGCACTTAGGACCACTCGTACTCTGACTCTTAACGTCATGCTTAGAATAGGGCCTGTCGGTATCGCGGGTAAGGCAGCTGCAGAAAGGGCTGCATTCAGGCTTACACGCACCGGTTGAATAACCGACTCGAAATCTGGACATCACGCCGTACCCTCTTTGACGCAGCTACATGTAGGACGACGATCTGAAATCATTTCAACACCCCGTCTTAGACTGCGTTTTAGACACTTTCTAACTTGCCCGGAGGAGTTTTCCGAGGCTAACATGCGGGCGTGCATGCGCAACTTCGCCCTCGACACGTAGCGATTTGCGCTCTGACCTAGCAGTTACCATAACGCAGTGGTTTCACAACGGCCATTGCTCTTGGTATAAGTGAGCCCCTTGTTAAGGGATAACCACCTTAACCTAACCCTATGTAACTGTTAAAATGGTGATAAAGAGCTAATTATGTATGCAGTATTGTGAAACGATTTTTTGTTCGGAAAATGAAACTGGAAATGACACAATGTCGAAATTGGCTTGTGTCCGAATTTGACAAGGGATGTCGGGAAATCGTTCCGCAATACATCATACACCACCCTGTCGGAAACACCCAAAACAACCAAATTGAGAGTACTAATTATATGTACAACTATATGTATATCCATTTAAAAATATTCTGTTGTATCAACCCCATTAAAAAATTTTATAATTTTTTTACCTTGACAAATATTACGGTTTAAAAATATTCTAGCAGTACGACGCTTGTGACCTCTTGTGACTCCCTAATTATCTTTAGCCCGAGTGGGCTCGCTGTTATTCTAAATAACAAAATCTTCAAACGATTCAGTACCTTCCCCGAGGATAGAGAACAGTTAGACTGCTTTGGTATCGAAAGGAAACCATAGTTCACCAGTATATCTGAGCTGAAATCTGTAAGAACCTTAGCTACAAATTTTGTTTATGAAAGATCAACGGTCAACTGCCGGTATAAAATGGGCAAGGAATTTCCAGTGACTCGTTGGTTTTTGTGTTCACATGGCGCTTTCTTGGCGTTCGCAATTCATTGCTGTTCAGGTATTTCCACAAAAAATAAAAATAAAATAAATAAAGATTAAGATAAACAAATCTCAAGATGAGTAGCTCTTGGCAATCGACCAAATATAAATGGATGCAACGGCAACGTAAAAACCACAAAAACAACAATTCGCTTTGAGAATTTCATAAAAACAATAACAATGCTTCTGGAAAAAAGTTGTCATTAATTATTGCTTTAAACAATAAAATAATTTCAAAAATGTATGTCATGTGCTGCGAATGAACATTTTTGTCACATTGCCAAAAGCACGTCGATTATCCTGTGCACTTTACCCGTGTGTCCACTTTACGCTTGTATGTGTTTATTTTTATATAGTTTTATTGGCATTAAACTTTTTATGATCACTTTATTTTTCTTTCAATTTCTTCACAAAGGATTTAAGATTAATAATTTATTGATTGCATATACATACATACATACGTATATTGTAGAAGTATAAAATTTTCTTTTCCAATAATGATTGTTAATAAAAGTTTGCGCCTAGCAGATTGTCTACGTTCGTCCAGATATTACTTGAGATTATGCAAAATAGACTGCTTATATCTGGCTCCATCGCCCGTTTTCGCATCAATAATTTCTACTTTAATTTAAAATTTCTTAATTGTTTTTGCGCGATAATCGGGAATGCACTGAAAGGCGCCAGCGAATTGCATATTTCTTAATTTCTTTTTTTTTTTTCAATATAAAGCAATATTCAAGCGTACATACAAATGTGTTTGTATGCATTTAAGAAATTTTTAAAATGTGCACTCCGTTGTAGAATAGCTTATGTATGGCCTTCTTGAGCTAATTTTAATTTTTTTAAATATTGCATGGAAATTTTTATTTTTTTATTTATCCTTTGCATACATACATACAAATATATGTGTACATATATATGTATGCATGTAAGTAAAAAAAAAATTATATAAGCAAATTTCTATCCAGCCACCCACTTCCCTCACTGAATACCGCCATTGATGAGCGCACGTGCTTTTGCCGCACATATTTATTCCTTTCATAATTACATAAATATTCTTTTATCATGCTTGTGAATACACGAGTATAGCTACAAATTATTGGGAATTTTCCACACTCTTCCCATTGCACAAATATAGAAACTTTTTATCCAATGCAATCACGTTGAGTATACAAACAAATACATATTAAGATACAGTGTTGTGCAATAGTTTTCATATATTACGTAAAAAATAACAATAGATGTTTCGGTAATAGCGTCACGTTCATGTATGTACATTAGACTGCATCACTCCCCATACAAAAAAAAATCGGTACTATTTTTCCACTGGAATTATAAAATCTATTATATTTTAAGACGTCCACCAAAATATTTCGGAAAAATATTAAGATTTAAGTGAGCTGGACCGATTTGAAAACACCTCCAAAAATGGAGTTTTTTTATGAATAAAAGTAGTTTCTTAAAGATTTTTTTTTGAAAAAATCCCCTCAAATTACAAAACGGTGTAAGCTTAAAATATTGGCATAAAAATATTTAAAAAAAAATTAAAAAAAAATTTTCGTAATGATGAGATTTTTGATGCTGTTTTTTAACTTTTTTCAAAGATTGGTATAGGAAAAACTTGAATAACTGAACCTAAGCTCTTCCGATTTAGACTTCTTTAAATATAATAAATTTTGTAATCCCGGCGGAAAAACCGCAACTTTTTTTTGGTGATGCAGTCTAATGTATATAGGTCTAAACAAGAATACCCATTTTATGAAAATAAACCATTACCAAGTATGCGAACCAAGTAGCCCCCGGTATGAACTTCTTCTGGTCGACTCATTGCTGGCTTAAATTGTTTTCCCCATTATAGTCTGACAGCTTTCACAAAAATGCTTCTGATATTAGTGTTTCGTGCAACGAATTTCTGTCATCTTCACCATTTTTTCGTGCTCTCGCACTTCCTTCAGGCAGTAATGAAGGACGCAAAATTCTTTGCTCGATGGACTACTCGGCTCGACAAGGGAAGAAAACGTTTTATAGTTTTTAGTTGTTGGTTTCAGCAATTTAAGTTCGAAGCAGGGTTACCATCTCTTTGCATAAAATTACATTTGTCTTCTCAAGTGGTCCCTCTTTTGCGATGAGCACACAG